CTTCTTTTATTAGTACTGAACTGACCACCTCGTCGCTTGCCGAGAGGTACAATTCTAAGACCTAACCTTCCTCGGGCCTGGCTAAGGTTGGTACAGTGGCGAGGTAGCTCTTTAGCTTGTCGAATGCGAGCTGGCAGTCTTGGGTCCACTCGAACCCTTTGCCTTTGATTGCCTTAAAGAAAGGCAGACAGCAGTCAGCCGACTTGGACATGAAGCGGCTCAGAGCGGCTATGCGACCGTTTAGCCTCTGAACCTCTTTTACTTTTCGGGGTGGTCTCATATCTAGGATGGCCTTTATCTTGTCCGGGTTGGCCTCGATACCGCACCGGTTGACAATGTACCCTAGGAACTTACCCGAGGTGACACCGAAGACACATTTGTTTGGGTTCAGTTTCATGCTAAATCGACGCAGGATTTGGAAGACAGAATCTAAGTCTTTTATTAATTCCTATGAAAACTGCGTCTTGATGACCATGTCGTCTACATAACATTCTATTTTTGTGCCAATTAAGGGCCAAAACAACTTATTTACAAATCTCTAGAAGGTCGCCCCAGCATTCTTCAGTCCGAAGGGCATGACCTTGTAGCAGTACAGGCCGAACTTGGTTATGAAGCTGGTTTTTTCCTCATCGGACTGGTCCATCCTGATTTGGTTGTAGCCTGAGTAGGCATCCAAGAAGCTTAGCAACTCATGTCTCGAGGTCGCGTCCACTAGGTGGTCAATTCTAGGGAGGGGGAAGCAGTTTTTGGGCAAGCTCGGTTCAGGTCGGTGTAGTTAACGCAGATGCGCCACTTGCCGTTTGCCTTTTTCACCAATACTGGGTTGGCTACCCAGCTCGGGTAATGAACTTCCCTTATGAAGTCCGCTGTGAGGAGCTTTTCGACCTCTCGTCGACCACCCTCCAGCGCTCCGGGGCTAAGTTGCGTTTCTTCTGTCTAATGGGTCTGACTACAGGGTCAGTGTTAAGTTTGTTAGTTATAAGGCCAAGGTCAATACCGAGCATATCGGCCGCGAACCATGCAAAAATATCTTAATTTTGAAGTAAGAAACTCACCAGTTCGGTTCGTAGAGGCTCCTTGACGGAAGCACCGATTTGCAGCGTTCGGGCCGGATCTGTAGCCGAAGTTGGGATTGCAACCGTTTCCTCTGTGGGCGAAGCTCATTCCTCACCCTGCTCCGTAGGCCGCTCCAGCTCGAGGTCGTTGGCCGCCTTGGTTTTTCCCTTCAGGGCGGCAACATAACACTTGCGGGATTCAAGCTGGTCGCCTTGCGCTATCCCCACACTGAAGTATGTAGGGAACTTCATTGCCAGATAGTAGGTGGAGACCACTGCCCGCAGAACATGCGTAAGTGGCCGCCCTATTATGGCATTGTATGGGGAGGGGGTCGCGACCACCAGGAAATCGTGGTTGAGTCTGACCGCACAAGGCCATGTGCCGACTTCCACAGGTACTGTTATCTTCCCGAGGGGCCTGACTTCCTCTCTGCTGAAGCCCACCAGAGGAGTGTTTGTGGGCTTCAGCTCGCTTCTCTACAACTGTAGCTGGTGAAATGCCAACTTGAAGAGGATGTCTGCCAAACTACCTGAATCCACAAGTATGTGCCTGACTTCGAAGTCGCTGATCCTTAGTTTTATGACAAGCGCATCATCGTGGGGGTAGTGGACACCTCGCGCATCGTCTTCCGTGAAGAAGATTGGTTCTTCTATCTTTGAACTTTTTGGAGGGTTCTGTTCTTCTCGGGCTGCCTCGCGAACTGACGTCCGGGCCGCTGCCGAAGTACACCCTGCTACCACCGAACCTCCCACTATCACATGGATGGTTCCCCGAACTGGCCTCTCTTCCGGAGGCTGTCGCTGCAACGCTTCGGCTGGCCTACTACTGGATTCGGGGGCATCCTTTCCATGCTCCCCTTGCCAACCTGCCTTATTGTTATTATTATTATGCTATACAAAATTTCTCAAGTATCCGTGACGGATGAGTCCCTCTATCTCGTCCCGGAGATTATTACACTGTTCGGTACTATGACCGTGATCTCTATGAAAACTACAGTATAGATTTTTATTTATCTCGTTTGGATTCCCCTTTAGGCGAGGTGGCCACTTTACGTATGGGGCGTCTTTGATCGTCATCAAGATCTCGGTCCGCCTCGTGTTTAATGGAGTGTAATCCGTCCGAACTGCTAAGGGAGCTCGGGACGGCTGGCTTGGCTTCGCCTCCCGGGCGGGGTTTCTTCTATCGCCTGGGTTGGAGGGCTCACCTTCTCTTTTCCTTTTCTCGATCCCGCCTTCGGTCCTTTGGTTGATCTCTTCCTCTGTTCTCATGAACTTGTTCACGAGCTTGAGGAACTCGACCACGGTCGCGGGCTGGTTAGCTACCATGTGCCATTTGAACTCCTTGTGCGTTACTCCTCTCTTGGCCGCCGCGAGTTGTACCGCTGGGTCTAATCGCAGTATCTGCAAGCACGCTTCATTGAACCGCTTGATGTAGCCCTGGATGGATTCTCCTTCTCTCTAGACTATTCCGAAGATGCTTTCCTCAATTCTGGGGCACCGCTTGCTGGTAACGAAGTGTGCAGTGAAGACCTGCACGAACTGGGTCCAACTTCTTATTGATCCGGGGGCTAGGTTCCTGTACCAGGTGCGGGCTACACCCCTGAAGGTGGTGGTGAAGGCCATGCACATGCA